TGCTCTCTTGGCTACAAAAGGAGCCAAAAACAAAATTTACCTAGCATCCCATGCTAGGAGGGTGCTACAATTACATTAAGGGATAGTGTATTCTGAAGGGTTGACATTTCAACCTTTTTTTTTATTATTTATAAATGAACAGATAAATACAAAGTTATAGGAACATCAAATAGCTTGCACAACAAAGCAAGTTACAGTCCAAGTGAAACAAAAATAAAAGGATCACTAGAATAAACATCGCTATTCAGAGAAGAAGGTTTGTACAGTCTTTCCAGCTCTGTCAACATGGCATGAATCAATGGATGAGGTAAACTGATCGCCAGTCCAAGGCATCCCCCATAAGGGTGCACCTGCAAAGTCTTGTTCCATAGAGACCCATAACTTGCATAAGATATGCCTGCACCAATCCACCACTCGAGTTATGTGGACTGCTGTGTAATAGAGGGCTGGATCTGGGAAGCCCATGCCCCCCTTTAATTTGGGTCGCAGCAAGAGTGATCTACTAAGACATGATGATCTCCCATGCCAATCGAAATTGACAAAAAGTGACCTCAAAGAGCGGAAGTATGTTTGTGGTAACTTAATCGGCAGGGCCTGCAGGAGGTATATAACTGGGCATTATGTTTATTTTAAGTACATTACATCGTCCAAACCAAGACAAAGCCAGATGGCCCCTTCTGATCAGGTCCTGTTGCAGTGAAAATAAAAACGGTTGGAGATTGAGTTTAAAGGTAGAGTTCAGGTTTGCTGGTATTTTCATTCCTAGGTATTGGATATAGTGCTCCGCCCATTTAAATGGAAAATTTGGTTGTAATCTAGCAAGAACGGGGTCAGGAAGTGAGATATTGAGGGCTTTCTGGAGATTCACCTTAAAAGTTAGATAGGGAACCGTAAATTTTAAGTTCTCATAGCAGGGAAGATAAAGAAGTGAGCAGTTCCGAGATATAGAAGAGAAGGTCATCTGCGTAAGCAGCGACTTTATGATAGTATGCAGGTGCCTGTATGCCTCTTATGGCTGGGTTGAGGCGAACATGTTGGAGAAAGGGCTCTAAAGCAATAACAAAGAGGAGAGGTGATAGCATGCATCCCTTTCTGGTGCCGTTATAGATAGCAAACAGATCAGAATTAAAACCATTGACTCGTATGGTTGCTGTAGGAGTCGTATATAGAGCTGATATACATGATATTATCGGGGTAGGCGTGCCGAGATATTTAAGAGTCTCAATAAGGAAAGTCCAATGAACTCTGTCAAATGCTGTTTCTGCATCAGTGGACAAGAGCAATAAGGGGATATTCTGTCGTTTGGCTGATGCTATGATAATCAATGTTCTGAGAGTATTATCCCGTGCTTCTCTGGACTGTATAAAGCAAGTCTGGTCAAAAGAGATAAGGCGTTGCAGAATGTCATTCAATCTCGACACAAGAATTTTTGTAAACAATTTAACGTCACAGTTCAGCAGAGATATGGGGCGGTAGCTGGCACAGAGAAGAGGATCTTTGTCTGGCTTCGGGATCACAGAGATACTGGCTTGCAGGAGGTTGGGGGGGAACCACCCGACCCTCTGCAATAGCGTTAAAAGCATGCAAAACATGGGGTGTGAGTTGAGGTAGGAAAGTATTGTAAAATGCAATGGTAAAGCCATCTGTGCCAAGGGCCTTACCTGGCTAAGTGTAGGCCACAGCCACCGCCAGTACATCAGCCGAAATCGGTTGAGTCAGGGATTCCCATTCATCTTGTGTAAGCACAGGGAGATTGGTTTCTCTTAAATAGTTTGCAATGTCCGCAAGTTGGGTCTCTTGTTGAGCTGCAGAGGACGTGGGTCATAGATTGTAGAAGGCCGAGTAGCATGTGCAAAATGCATTTGCTAGTTCTGGGGTGGAATGGACCTTTGTGCCCGATGAAGAATGTAGGAAAGAGTAATAAGATCGGGTATTCTGAACCTTCAAAGCCCTAGCTGGCATGCAACCACACCTGTAGATAGCTGTAGTTAAGCTTCTCTCTATTATTCCTGAGAAATCTTTCTACATTGGTGGCTTCTCCATGATCGCAGCAGGGGGAGACTGACCCACAGGGACAGCCAACAGCAGGCCGCGGGTCCAGGCGCAAGCCCAGACACAGGCCACGTCACAAAGCATAATAACACATAGTACATGACATTCGAGGAGGTTGTAAACATAACATATCTAAACAGGTCAGAAAACCACACTGCAGACGTTGACTTATGTAAGACACAACTTACTCCAGGTGGTATCCCCTGGCTGCACCCGCTACCCACACGGCCCGGGGGCAGTCGAAGGCGGCGGGTATGTGTTGCCCCATGAATCACGTCAGTATAGGAGCTGAGAATACTACAAACCCTGCACTCAAGTGCAAAAGGTGACCCTTTCCAGCCACGGGGCCGTGCGACCACAAGCACAAGCCAGGGGTACAGAAAAAACAAGAACATTTAAGTCGAACAGGATAATAAAGAAACAACAAAACCAAAAAAAATAACGTTGCAAACCACAATCAAAATACCACCAGGTGGGTCTACTGGGTAAAAAAATCCAGCACCGGAGGCACGGAACCCACGCGGCCAGGAGCAAAAAACCCAAGAAGCTGAAGAGATGGCTGGATACCAAGTCTCAGGGGCCAATTTCAGGGCCACTTAGGTAGTAAATGTAACCCAGTTATGATGAAAGTGTCAGTCAAGTGGGATGAAAGACTGGACAACTCTTGTACTGAGGCGGAATGAGCTGGAACACAGAACCCTTTAAGTAGGTCCATGAAGTGAAGACTGTAGCAATTTGCCCCATGGTTGTCAGCTTTGTTCATTCTGGGCATGAGGCTTGCAGTCGGTCTCTTCTGGATCTGCAGTTTGAGCATACTCTCTGCGGCTTGCCTTGGAGCATCTGCTCAGAGGAATCCAGAGCGACGTTAAAGGTGAGCCAGTTGGGAAAACTGGAAGGGGATCCATTCCAGAGAAGGCACAAAATGCAAGCAGATACGATGGGTGGCGAATCAGAAAGGTACAGTTGCCCTTGCGCACTATTAGATGAAAGTGGTGCCATTTGTATGACATCCCCAGCTCTAGAATTCAGTCCAGTAACTGTTCTACACATCAGCAGCATCTTTTCAAAAATATCAGGGAGTAGATGGACCGAGGGTCCATCAAATTCCAGCATGCCCACTCTCCAGGCTTGTTGTAAGATCTCTTCCTTGAGGCGGTAGGAGTGTAGGCGACAAAAAACATCATGTGGGGGTTCCGCAGTGGTTGGGCCTGGGTCCGGACTCCTATGGACCCGATCAATGGTAACCTCGGTATCCTGAGGGCGATCCAGGTATCTATTAAAAATGGAGGTAACGTGAGAGCGTAGGTCGGCCTGCACGACCGCCTCTGGTACACCCTGTAGATGGATGTTTTGCCTTTGGTTACAGTTTTCTAAATAATCCACCAGTAAAAAAGTAGCTGCACGACCTGGTTGGACAGATCAGATTGTGCAGATTATAAGTTGTCAAGTTTGTGTTCCGCAATGTCATGTTTTCCCCTATAAGAGCAAACGCTACACGGGTGGCTAAGGCCTCAAAATCTGCCCTCATAGGTAACTGCTGAAGGAAGTCCCATAGGGTTTGTCCAAAGAACGGGGTAGACATGAAACCGCACTGCAGCGTGTCCCCAGGGATAGTACACACTGTAGCCATCGAAGCAGTGCCAAACTGTAGGCCTTCAAGGGCTGGCGGATACCGCAGTCGTTGCCCTGTGTCGGTACGGCAGCTGTTATGGATAGGCCGGCGTCCAGAGAATAAGACTCCACCAGGGCTGCAGGGGATGTGACCAGCGACCGCGGCAGGCAAGGCGGTGAAAAAGGAGATAAGTCGTGCGAGGCATCGCGGTCATAGGGGTAGGATATCATGCAGTCAGTGAGAGCAGAGGCCTTGGCTGTGGGAGCCAGCGCCATCTTGGGTCCCGCTGGCGTGAACACCGACTGTGTGTTCGGCCGAAGATACCGCTCCATCCTCTGATCAGGTAAATGAGAAGAACTTCGGCAAGTGTCGTGATCACCAGAAAGGTCCAGAGTCGTTGCAATGTGGGATAACCTGCAGTAGGGTGGCTGTAAGTGTGCCTCAAGCAGGGAGATCAGTAAGCACACATCCTCACCCGGCCATGTCGAGACCATGCCCCCCCCACATTTCAACCTTTTAATGTGGCAAACAGAGTCTCTTCCATCAAGTGTGTGCCCTGAAATACATTCATTTTTGGGGACGTTTGCTTTAGCATAAAAATTTGTCTTTTCACAAAACAGTAGATTCCAGCATTTGGAACAGTACATTTAAACAGGATGTGTTTTTCTTCCGCATAGAAGATCCTAGTGTAAGAGAGTTTAGAATGCAAATAAACTAGGGTAGGTTAGTGTAAGAGTTGGAATTACATGGAGGGTTAGTGTCAATAATGGGATTACAGGGCAGGGTTAGTGTCAACGATGGGGTTACAGGGAGGGTTAGCATCAATGATGGCATTACAGGGAAATTTAATGTCTGGATTGGAGCTACAAGGAGGGTTAGGTTCAGCGGTGTCTTACAATAGGGCATCGATCTCTTCGCCAGGAGCTCTGTGGGAAAAGCTAATAGCATCTATTTGCTAGCCCTAAAGGCTAATGGTCTTCAGTGATCCCTCTGGACTAAGAGAATGTTCTTTCACTACCTGAAATATTTTTATATTATTCAATCACAATTCAAGTATATTTCCAGAACAAGATTCTTTCTGTCTGGAAGAAATTTCTTGAAGACATTTTTTAAAAGAAAAAACAAAAAAACATATCAATATGCCTGGATGCAAACCATGATACAACAAATTGTGATACAACTTTCACTTGTAAGCCGGCTTTCACATCCCAACCTTGGGCCTCTAGGTGCAGTATCTTGGCAAACCAATTAAAGTACTAAATATCAAGTAAGATATCAATTTCTAAAGTACAAAGAACTGTATTTCACTAGCTCCGCAGTCATTTCCTTTAGAAAACATGTTTTTTTTTTTTTGCTTGGTGGAGGACTTACCATGGGCACTTCCTACTATTATATCTCCAGCAGCTGAAGACATTGATGAAGATTCTGCATACAGGTATTTGGCTTTCAGCTGACCATTTTCTGTGCAAATATTAATGGATGTACCTAACAGTTTTTCAATATCAACCGTCTGTAACACAAAACAAAAATGTAAACAATATTTGATGTGTTTTACAGCAGAACTCCAACCACACAGGTAAATACACACTTAACATTAAGCTATAAACGGTTTAACCATTTAAAGATTTGCAATTATGAAGAGCCATTCTGAACATCTGGTTTCCTGTTTCACTTACCACATCCAGTATCTTCTAGCCCCAAATTTCTGCTGTTTAAGTACATCTAATGCCATTTTCCCCCTATTTTGGAGAGAGTAGGGAATGGTTAAAATTCCCAACAGTTTTTTTTCCCCATTGCCATTTCTGTCCTATTCAAGAGATTCCTTTCAGCAGGAACACAGGCAGGAAAAAAACCCAAGAGGAAATCTAACTCTTTATCACTCGATCAAAAAAAAACAAAAAACATTGCAATTAGTTGTATGTAAAGCTAAAGGCTCTATTTAACACGGTTTCCTATGGGCCGAGTTCTCATCTGTGTGTTTTCCACTGGTCCGTTTTTTGGAAAGGGTCAGGGACTTTTTTCCCCGTAGCAGGTTGAGTTTTTGGTTCCATAGACTTCAATGAAAATTCAGTGGAAATGCACCAAAAATGCAGTGCTCATGTTTTTGATGTGTTTCTGCTGCGTTTTTGCTGGTTTCTCCTGGAAGACAACAGACGCCTCCCAAAAACTGGAAAACCCTCTAAAGCCCAGCACTCCACTGAGCGATGCAGGGGTAGAGCAGAGAACTGGAGACTAACAGTCATGGCTCTCTGCTCAGAGCAGAGGGGAGAACTGAGCGATCAGCAGTTTTTGATCACTTAGTTCTCAGTGAAGAGCCAGTGGGGGACAGATCCAGCATCGGATCGATGCTGCATCCACCAAGGTGAGTATAAATATTTTTTTTCCAGAAAGCCATACTTTTCTTTTAATAAATGACTTGGAACAAGCATGCAGATTAGGAATTCCAGGTAGACTGTGATTTTACATGTTCTGGGACAATGACTAAAGAAACTGGAGCCTTTCCTGGGAAAAAAAAATAATAGCTGGAGCCATTAGATCAGTATGATACCTAGGCAACTAGATTTTGTTTAGATATTTAAAACAAGAGGGTGGAAATAGCAGTTCAAACCCTAATCTCTGCATAGGTTTCTCCTGTGCAACAAGTAAAATTCCTGCCTAACACAAATTAGTCCCTTTTCCCTCCCGCTACCTATGCTGACTAACCTGTGCAAAAAAAAAAAAAAAAAGTATATAATTTACCTATTTTCACTCTGCTCTAGTCCAGTCACATAATCCGGCCCCCCTTGCATCAGTCAGCAGCAGCTGCAGGGGAGAAGAGAAAGCGCTAGACAATGGCTGGGAATTCTGGGAGTAGTGACATCACCTATCTGCTCCCATGTCCTGATCACCCTTAGAATCACTGAACCTAGAAGCGATCAGCTTTGAGCACTTCTAGGTTCAGAGCTGGGAAATCAGCTGTCTGTGTACAATCTGTACACTATCTAGCTCTGGTGAGTACTGAGGAGACATCTGTAAAGTGTATATTCAATTTTTAGGTGCCATCACATAGCAAGCTTGTCAATCCTATTATTAAAGCAATAAAGTAGATGAAAAAAAATGGAAAAAAAGTATTTATAAAATCAAAATCTATTGAAATAAAAAAAATGTAAAGCCAACCCACTCTCATAGACACACTCATGTAGATCTTTCTAGTACATTCATTAAACAAAAAATGTGCAACACATTTAGTATCACCATGCACATCATATTAAGAGGAATAGTTTAAGGGCCATTTACAGTTAACTCCAAACTGTTGAGCTGTAAATTGTTTAAGCATCTCCTATGGACAATTTTGTGCATTGTATTTTATGACCATATCACTGCCACATGCAGTTTTAAGTCTTGACATATTTGGTACCCATTTACTATTTTACTCTTTTTCTTTTACTGAAAAAAATAGATTTGATAAACAGTTGTGCTAAAATTGTGCAACAAAAATGCAACTGCCATGTGTTTTTCTTTGGGTACATTTATTTTATAAAATATATATTGTTATGGGGTTTTAGGTACATTTTTGAGTAAAAAATTAGCATTTTAGCATGAAAGAATGTAAACGAAAAAAATTCTCTGAAAAAGGGTTAAATAAAAGACTTGCTTTTGTAGAATACATTTATGTCATTTGTTGGAAATCAACCAGCCTGACAATCCTGCCATCCAGTATCCCATTTACTGCTTTTATATTGCCAAGATGTATGAGTGCTTCATTCCTATAATGCACAACTAAATCCACTATTAAACAGTTTCTCTAATAATGTTAAACACAAAAAAATAAAGTGACTTGAGCTTCACATATAAAATGGTACACGCAATAGACCTAAAAAACATTAGGTATGCCTATTGCGATTATTACAGAGTGTACTGCAGCTTGGTGGTTGCCCTTCTGACCAGTTCATAGGATCATTTTCCAGAAAAGAAAACATGTTTTCCAAAGACAGCGGGAGATATCGTTGCCAAAACATTCCTTTCACCAGATTGGGTGCCAGTGGGAAAATTACTTTGCAATCTAGTGGTTATTTTTAGGGTGAAGTCATACATTGCAGCTATTAATAACAGCCTATAATTGTAGAGGTTTTGGCAGAGACGTGTGCTTTAATTTTCAATAAAATATTCCCTTGACTTATTTTTCCATTAATGTACATGCTACCCACACAGGATAAGTACACTTTGATCAGGGAACAGCATCGTTACTGAAAAGTAAAGTCAGATAAACGTAAACTGCAAACAGCCTGGGGCCTTGTGTCATGTTCTCTGCTGTCTCTCCAATGAGGGATCTTCGAACATCATTCATTTGGCTTTGTAAGGGGGAAGGGTAAGCTCCAGAACACATGTGAGATACAGTCATGTACAAACTGCATTGTTATAACCAGATGATGAGCAAGCTTTCATGTGAAAAAATAAAGTGGAGAACTACCAGCACATTGCTGATACACAGTGACAAAAGGAAAGATCATGTACCAAGAAAAATATTTATGTGAGCACTCTCTTTGTTCCTATGACAGGCCGATACTTCTTTTTACTTTCAAACCAACACTGGAAAAACAACTGGACGCTAACTGGTCATGCACACAGTTGTACCAAAATTACTGATCATCTGGGCAGGATATTGCTGCCATAAAGATCCTGTATAAAAAAAAAAGAATGAAATGATTTGTAAAGAGCTTTTGTAAACACTTGTATGGTGGAATCTGAACCCATGACAAAAAAGTGCTGCAAGGCAGGCTTGCTGATCAACATATTTTCTCAGGTATATCATCCATCTACTGTACGTCCTGGTGGAAGATGCTGGCCCAGGGATGACTTAGTAATGTAAATCACGTGTTTGAGCAACATCCTTTATATCCTTGGCTGAGTCTCACATAAATCACCTTTTACTTCTGTCTCTCCATCTTTGAACAGACTGTGAAGAAATTAACACACCCAGCAAAGACTGGGGCAAAAATATATCACATTCACACAGCCCAGTCCCTCTCATTCTGTAATCTGCCAGTGGAAAAATCTCTCTAAGTCACACAGCTCAATCCCTCTGCTGCCTTGCACCCAATGAGTTGCCAGTGTAAAAATCCATCACACTCTCACAGCTGAGTCCCTCTGCTGTTTCTCATCCTGTGACATGCCAGTGTAAAAATCCATCACACTCTCATAGCGGAGTCCCTCTGCGGTCTCATTCTGTGACATGCCAGTGTACAAATCCATCACACTCTCATAGCCGAGTCCCTCTGCTGTCTCATCCTGTGACATGCCAGTGTGTAAAAATGTATCACTCTCTCTCAGCCCGGTCCCTCTGCTGTCTCTCATCCTGTGACATGCCAGTGTAAAAATCCATCACACTCTCACAGACCAGTCCCTCTACTATCTCTCATCCTGTGACATGCCAGTGTAAAAATCCATCACACTCTCACAGCTCAATCCCTCTGCTGCCTCTCATCCTGTGACCTGCGAATGAAAAAATCCATCACATTCTCACAGCCGAGTCCTTCTGCTGCCACTCATCCTATGACCTGCTAGTGTAAAAACCCATCACATTCTCACAGCTCAGTCCCTCCCTTTCTCTGATTGGCCAATGTAGAAATCCATCACATTTTTACCACTCAGTTACTCCCTTGCATTTCATCCTTTGATGGATTTTTACATTTGCAGGTCAAACTCACACAGGTCAGTCAGACAATCTCATGGCTATAGTGGGAGAGAAACCCCGACTGTGTGTGCTATATGTCCACATCCCAGCAAATCATGTACAACTATGAACATAATATAGGGCAGCACAGTGACTAAATGGTTAGCACTTCCACCTGGCAGTACTAGGGTCGTTGGTTCAAATCCCAGCCGCGGCACCACCTGCCTGGAGTTTGCATGTTCTCCATGTGCCTGCATGGGTTTCCTCTGGGTACTCCGGTTTCCTTCCGCATTCCAAAGACATGCTGGTAGGTGAATTGGCTCCTATCTAAATTGGCCCTAGTATGTGTATGTATGAATGTGAGTTAGGGACCTTAGATTGTACACCCCTTGAGGGTTAGGGACTGATGAGAATGTACAATATACATATATAGCGCCATCAATTTATTCAGCGCTTTACCTATAAGTACTTGAGATAAAAATAAATAGACATGGACTTTGTGTTGACATAGAAAAGAGAAACGGAATACCATAAAAACAACTTATGTACCATTAAAAATTTATTACACAACATTAAAAATTACTCTCCTCATAAGGGTTCACAACATACAATTATTTCGATTACAGTTTACATGTGGACTCGACGCGTTTCGGGAATCCTCATTCAGGAGAACATGTGACAGAATAGGTACAATGGAACCAACTCCTAATCTTTAATGGAGTAATATCAGGCAGAAGGGTAGACTGGGATTCATAGAATGTTGCCCATAGAAGCGAAAATGAATGAGCCATGATGAGGCCACTGTCTCTCAAATGGGAAATTCAGGTACATTCAGTACATTCTAGATGTCCACACAA